GCATGCTTTCACTCCTGGACTTTGAAAATTTCTCGTTGCATTTAACCGTCGTAGTGAGCCATCGTCACCGGGGTCGGCCGGTTGATACGGTGCACTCTTCGTGGGAATCTTCTTCTTCCGACCCATAACAATTGCAATCAGCTCGGTGTTATGTTTAAGTGCCAAATTTGCATTTAGGCGATGCACTACAAGTTGCACCTTAAAACCCACGGGGGCCTTGTTCGAGCGCTGCGCAATTTGCACGAGCCGACTCATGGTGACTCGGTTCACTGAAACTTCCTCTAGCAGTGCAGATTAAGAATTCGACCCCACTTCGAGTTATGAAGCATGATGGATAAGTTGCAAGGAGAAGGACGTAGTCCCGTAATAGAAGACTGACAACCGTCAGATCCTATCTTTGCCTAAAGCGTTATTTGTCTAGGATTGCGAAGTTAGGTCATGAGTAATATAAATTTATTTGCTTGACAAGTTTAGGCGTGGATATTAAGCTGTTGTAGAGAAGAGAACTTGAAAACACTGCACAAATCAGTACGCCATTCGCTTTTTGCGCTCAATAGCGTCGTAAATGTTCGACCAGATATTCTTAATTGTTCCGTAATCATCACTTGCGAACTTTGCAGCCACAAAACGCAAAGATGGCACTGTAAGTGAAAAATAGTGAAGGTTGCCTATTGTAAAGACCGAGTTAAGATACCACTAAAATGTTAAGAAAAAAAGCGATGGACAAACCGTAGCCTTTATAGATTTTGCACTTGATTGGGGAGATCTTATGGTCTCGGCACAAACGAAAAGACTGAACCTGTGTATGCACACCTCGCTTCTCGTATAACGCAATCACGCACTTCGTACAAACAAAATACATATTACACCCCCAATTTCTCGAATGTAAAATTTAAAATCAATGTACCTCATGGTAAGCTGCTCTCGACACGAAAAGCTGTAGAACATCCATTTTAGATCCTCCAAAAGCGAAGTACTTAGTTGTCCACGTTGCGTTACCCGACGTAAGGTTGCCAACGCTAAAGGTTCCATCTGCGGATTTCACTGCATAAGGAAATTAAAACAAAAGTAAACGAAATAACAAAGCTTACTCGAGATTCTCGTCAGAATGTTACCCTGTGTAGTATCATTGGCTTGAGATCCGCGCTCAAACCGCATACACAAAGGTCGTGGAGCTGCCTTAATCATGTCCAAAATGGCAATATAAGGCTCGTTGTAAACGCTCTTGCGATTAATAGCTACCACGGTGCTCCCAATAGACACACCCACACGGTCAGCAGCGCCATTTTCAACCACCAGCTTCACCACAGCAGTCTCCTTGCGCTCGTTAGACGAGTTCCACACATCAACACGCTCCATAAGAACGCCAAGTTTACGGCCACTTTCGAAGCAGACATCGTATTCGCCCTTGCCGCATCCTTTTGCAGTCTCACAATCCTCTGCTAGACCAGTTGATTCCGCGGGTTTGCTCGACGTATTTCGTTCAATTCCACTACTTTGTCCAACTGCGTTTGCTTCAAAGTCATCAAGATTGGCAAAAGCGGAGTGCATAAATGCATCATTGCCCTCAAGAAAACATGAATTGTTGTCTTCAAAGTTGCTTGTAGCGTTCGGGTTAACATCCCTTAACGATATCTTGTGTTGCAATGGTTTCGATGAAACTGTAGCAAATCCATCCGGCGAAAAGCCTAACTGCAAGCGTTGCTCTTCCTGAGTAAGGCGTTTGCCTCCAAAAAAAGGCAGACGATCATTCGAGTTCAGTGGATTATGTGTTGTAATAGCATTGTCGGATAAATCAAACAGTGTTCTCGGTGTTGAGCCTTTCGGGCTAAAGGGGTCAAAATCCACGATAGTAGATTTTACATTACGTGTTTGATACGCAGTAATCGTGGGCTCTGGAGCACGTGACACTGTGAGGGCGGGAGATGTGGCAAACGGATCTGCTGGTTTCATAACGTTTCTAATGCTGTCGTACAAAATCGGCTCGTCACCGTAAGTTGGCATAGCCAAGAGCTTTGTAGGTTGATTACCCATTTGCTGTAGTGGCATCTGCGGCTGCATTTGCATGTGAGGTGGCATCATCATTACAGGAGCAGGAATTAGAGATTGTTGCTCGTACGGGCTATATGACGCATATTGCTGGCTATTAGCATTCAAACCACCAAATGCAGGCGGACCTTGCTGCGTCATAAAATTTGCACCATTTGGGTATATTGCATGCTGCTGCTGAGGCATCATAGATACATTTCCAGCGCGAGCACTTGATGTATGCTCAAATTGATTTATCATCGGTTGAGCCG